CTGAACTGGTATGAATAACTATTTTGGAATACATTTTATAACCTATGTTTGCCAGAGAAATCCTTCTATTATACTCTTTAGAATACAATGTTTTGTTATTAGCAAATTTTGCACTGATTAAGAAGTAAATATTTGATTGTTAATATTCTGATTTTGTAAAGTATTCATTTTTCTTCATAAGTATCATCATTATATCAAGGGGAGAAAAGAGTAAATAATTTAGGTCAGACTAACTAACACATCTTAATTTAAGCATTAAAAGATGTGTGTTTGAAAGATATCAATCTCCACATGTTCTGGAAATAAAAACCAGACAAATAATTCAATAAAACTTCACATATCCCATAGAAGTCTGAATAACCAATTACTAAAAATTTCACCATCTGCTCTCATTGAAGCAGCAAGACTGAGGCATTTCCCTGTGTTGCACACCATGATAATCAGAATGTAACAGAATGAGAACTACTAACATCATTTTTCCCCCTTTCTTATTTGCTGTTGTGGTTCTTAATGAAAACCTGAGCTATACAAAGGAAAGGGGAGAATATTCCCCCGCCCCACCTACTAATTGGGTGCTTATACACAGTAATAGCTTTTTGCTGCCCTGGGCAGCATGACATTGTCTCATTTGGCCACGCACAGCTATTATTCTAGGAGGCAGCTAGTGAAGTGCCCCAATCCATCTGCTTGCTTTTCATGGGCTGGTGCTTTCCTTGATGTTGACAGCTGTCTTAATATTCCTGAGCCACCTGCCACATAGTAAATACTGTGCTCTAAGATATATACAGAAGTTTATCCCTCTGGTGGACTTCTCAGAACAAAGAGCTTAGCATTTCTAAACTACCCTTGCATCCTTGTTGAAATGCTTCGGGGATCAGCACTTTGTTCTCACACTTTTGAGGAGCACAGTGCTTACTATGCTTTGGAAATGGTAGTCCACTTACAGTGTGATGAACTTCAGCTTTTCTCACATGTCAAATAAGCTAGTGAATTGCAGACTTTCTGTGGAAGTTGTGGTCACAGGAGGCAGAGAGGAAGAGAGCATACTGACAGTTATCTCTAGTGAGCCTTCCTGGAAACGTGTAGACTAAGTTGAGGGTCTATCCTAGTTATGCCCATAGAAAGATTGCCCCTGTCCTACTCTCTTTGCTCATCTGCTTCCTCCATCAAACCTGCTCCTAGAGGGAAAACACTTGATCTTACTCATCACTGTATCTGTAAGAATGAGTGTGAATCTGACACACAGTCGGGACTCAGGGACAGATCCACATTTTAAGGTATCTAAAGAGTTTTGCAATTTCTCTTTAAAGGAAAAGATTTAAAATGAAAAATAAAAATTCACAAAAGTGAATGAAAAAATAAATCAAATTACCAATTTAAAAGGTTGGCTAATATTACAAATATCACAAAGTCTAGAAAATCAGTATTTTTTCCATTAACTCCCCCACATGCCTCTATAATATTGTTTCTTATACTTTGTCTACTCTTTGATAGGCTTCCCTATGACAATCATTTTCTAATATCATTTTCTGTACATATAATGGAAAGGTAATTCAGTCTTTCCTCCAAATTGGTTAAGTGTATTTATTATTGAGACAAGGGTTACATAAACATACAACACTAAACACACACACCCAATGTTGTGGTACTGCTACAGGTTTGTGCCCTACAAACAAAAATTTTGATAAATTCTATTTTACGTGATTTTCACTGAAAAAATACTGGGGCATTTACAGTTATAAAAATTGTATACACTACATTAATGAACATCTTACTGTTATGAGAGAAATTACATCAATTAGAAGTGATTCTTCCTATTTCACTTTTGTCTTTTGATGCCTGGAATACTTTTCCACAAGTCCCTTTTGCTATTTTACATTTAAAAATCTTGTTTCACCTCTACTACCCACATGCTTTCAGTGTTAGGGGTCTTAGGATATGTTTATGTCTTGTTAGTACCTCTGGTCCTGTATCTTGGGTGTAATGCTTGGTGAGCTGCACAATGGACAAGTTGGAATTTAAGCAATAACAACTATACTTTGGAAAAGCTGATAACCATATAAATATATCCCATTAAATCCGAACTGAATGTATCCCCAACACAAATTTCCCAGCAGATCCCAAAGTGCTCGCAGTAATTCCAATACCAACTGCCTCTAGGAATAATATGATGGAGGGGAAATCCTAGAGGAAAGAGCTTGTGGTCTTACTTGCAGTATAAATACTTGTTTTGGCAAATTTCATAAAAATGCACGACCAAGCGATCGCATTCCTGAATTCACACTGGAAGAGACTGTGCCGGTGAGATGCCTTGAAGTTGTGCTTCATTAGCTTCACAGAAAATGTGCTTCTACTGTAAGTACTCACTCACTAAATGTCAGTGAATGAATTGACTGGAGATAACTGTGCTAAATTAGCATCTCTAAGATGCTTACAACTCTAAAATTTAACGGGAAGTTTTTACTGACTTCCTAACTCTACCTTAGATCTTAGAATTCAGAATGTGTTGTTATGAGTTCAGAATATAAGGATGGAGGACATTAGTACTTGAAAAATAAAGAAATGAAAATTCAGGGGTCATTGATTTATGACTTTAAGCTACATTTTCATAGACAAAAGTTTGCCTTAATGGAGGCTGCGCATTACTCATTCACTCAGTGTGGAGATCAGAATATTGTTAGATATTGTTTCCTTCCTTAAGTAGTTGCTTTTGAGGAAAAAAAAAAGGTTTGTATTGGCACAACTGTTCATTTTAGGTGCCTCTAATAACATTTATATTATCTTATACCCTTCCAAGATGTTTATTAATAGAAGGGATTCTAACTAGATGAGCATTAGCTTTATTTCTACTACTTACACTGTCACCACAAATACTGTAGAAAGTTTCTATATGAATGAAGGACTTCACACATCATGATTCTGATGCCTTCTCGTTTACCCCGGGTAGTGGCTATTGAAAGAATATGATTATCACAGCTTTGTCCCTGACAGCTATTTTTTAGAGAAATTATTTTCTTAAAGAAATAGCATTATTAGTTAAAATCATAATTCAGTAATAAATCTGACTGGCCCCCACCCACGTTTATCTCCAGAAAGACCTCCTGAACAATCCACCCTCTGGGTAGGTATTAGAGCGCAGGGCCTGCTTTTGTCACAGTACAGGTGGTGGACACATCTGGTAGTCATTTAACATCCCTTTGGGGAGATTAATTCTCTAGGCCTTCTAGCTGGAGGGAACAGTTTGTTTCGAACTCTCTTTGCTTTCATATTCTCTGAGCTTTCTGGTAAGTGGGCCTTTAATGGAAATAAGACTCGAATTAGGAAGTCTACTTTTCTTATTCTAGTGTATTATTCTACTTTTTCCCTGTTTTCTCAGACTCACAGAGAAAGAGAAAAGATTTGCCAAAGAGAAAGTGCTGGTCAGTCTTGAGGGATAGTCTGGAATGAACCCAGCAGAAGGAAATGGGGCTGATTTAACTTTGGTAGTTATTGCCATCAGCTGGTGCTGAAATTTTGATCTGGGGCTTATAGACATCCAGTCTACTCAGAAGCAACCATCTCCTCCTCCAGCACTCCAAAACCAGAGCAGGTGATGACCCTAGGGTAGCTTCCTTCCCCTCCCCCAAGTCAGAACTGCCTTGGACATTTCACTTTTATCTCATTTACTTGTATAAAATTTTTAGTGAACAGGTGTGCCATATCATGTCTGTGATTTCTACACCCTCTCAGGTGTAAAGCAGTTGGCTTTAAAACAAAACACCTGGGGTAAATGGGCCTCGATGTTTTCTCTACTAGCTACTAGGGTGTAAAAACTGAAAAAAAAAATTCATGCTACTATCTTAGTGAAATAAGTCAGACACGGAAGGACAAATACTATATTATATGGATTCACTTATATGATGAATCTGAAACAGTCAAATCCATAGGAGCAGAGACCGGAATGGTGGTTTCCAGGGGCTGGGAAGGGAAAAAAGGGAGGGGAGGAATTAGTCAAAGGGTACCAAGTTGCAGTTACACAAGGTGAGTAAGTCCTAGAGTTCTTCTTACAGCATATGTCTATTGTTAATAATACTGTATTGTATACTTAAAACTTTGCTTAGAGGGTAGATCTTACATCTTAAGCGTTTATAGTAATAATAATGAAGGTGGAAGGAAGCTTATAGCCGTGATTATTTTATGACATAGATTGTGTTGGTGGTTTCATGGTGTCCATTTATCTTCAAACTCATCAAGCTGCATACATTAATTATGTACAGCTTTATGTATGTAAAATTTTAAAACACTAAGAAAATTCAGACTACTGTATTTAGACATTATTTAAAAGCAAATCTTAAGGACATTTTGGTTTCCAGATTTCAGTGCCGTCTGTGTAATGACTACAAATATTTGTTTCAGCGTTTACAAGTTTCAGTCACACTTGTTTCTGATCAGTGTCATTTTTGCAAGAGGGCTTGTCGGGGAGTAGTGGGTAACACGGCGTGTGAGACGCACAACGCACATCTGGGTTACTCCACACGTAGTGAGCCAGCCAAACAAGAAGAGTTGTTGACAGACCTCACTTCTGGGACTCAGCCGTAGGGCAACCTCATCTTTTGCAGCCCTGGTGGAAGCTGTTTTAGGAAGAGCTGTTCGTTAGCTGAAAGGCAGCCCAGGGCACTCTGGCGCCGATTTACCCAGGTGCGTTCACAAACTTTAGTTCATGAACCTGTTTCAAATGTTTGATAACTGTTCCGTGCACTGGCTGGAGGATAGAAAAACAATCCAGAAATAGATAAAAATTGAGCGCTAAGACAAATGAGCTGGCAGCCTGAGCTCGTTTGGGCGGGAAGCCGGGAGCCCGGCGTCGCGGGGTGGTGCGTTCCCCTCCGGGTCTCAGGCCCGCGCCAGCCGCGGGGACCCTGCCAGCGGCGGCGGCCGGGCCCGGACTCGGGGCGGGGCCGCGGCCTCTGGCTCCTCCTGGGGGCGGGCGGGCCGTGGGCGGGAGGAGGAGCCGCCACACAGCGCGTGAAGGAGCCGCGCTTCGAGCGCGTCTCGCCCGCGCCTCCCGCCCGGGATGGACTGAGCTGCGCCGGCGGCCCGCGCCGAGTCGGCCCTCCCTCACCGGGTCCCGCGGCGCCGGGCCGGGCTGCGGGCGCAGGACACCGCGTCGCGCGTTCCCCGCCGACGGCTCCGGACCGGCTGCCGCTCCGGGGAGATGTCCGGCGGCCGGAGGAGGGGCGGCGCCCCCTGGCACAGCTTCTCCCGATTCTTCGCTCCCCGAAGCCCTTCTCGGGACAAGGAAGAGGAAGAGGAGGAGAGGCCGGGGACGAGCCAGCCGCCCGCGCCGGGCCGGGGCGCTGCCAGGTGGGAGCCGCGGGGGACGTCGGGGGTCCTGCGCGGACTCGCGGGGCAGGGGCGCCTTGCCCCACTGCCTGCAGCCCGCCGCTCTCGGCCGGGCTGCGCTTCGCTCGCCACTTTCTGTTCTCCTTCCTCCATTGCCCAAGTTTCGTCCTCCTCGCCTAGTTCCCGTGCCGCATCACTTGGTTCGTTCAATCTGGGCGAAGTGCGTGGCCCGCGGCCGGCCAGCCCGCCCGCGGGCGCTCTGCCTCCCCACCTCCCCGCCTCTCCTCCCCGGACGTGAGTCGGTTCCCGTCCCACACTCGCGTCTGCTCTCCAAGTTCTGTGGCAGAAGCCAGTCCCCGGCGTCCTGCCGGCAGTAATGGGAAACAGTTGTGAGCCCGGCGTCCGCCAGGGCGAGGAGGGAGCGATCTGAGAAAACCACTCGTGCGGGAAAGGTGACGCTTTGGGGCGCCAGCTGGTATTTTGCCATCTTGTTCAAATTTTCCCAAAATTATTATTATTTTTTTAAAGAATGGTGATGCCTAGTTCCCAAGACTTCATCAAAATGTTAAACTCTCGCCAGGTTTATTTACCATTGCCTGACGTTTAAATGAGGCCGCCCTTTACCCGTATCTCTAAGGAAACATCTGCCTCAAGTTTCCAAACGGATTCCAGAAACCAAGACTCGCGCTGTCTTGGTTTCAGTAGTGAAAACGTGCCCCTTATCTGCAGCCTTGTCTCCTTCCTCCACCTGCTGCTGTAAAATCGAAAAAAAATTTTTTTAATCCGTGTCTCATGAAAATACCTTGAATCCTTTCATCCGTCCCGAGGGAAAAAGAGGGGTTAAGTGAAATGCAACTTGCTGTTTTAAACTTGGGATGAGAAGAGAGGCTTACTGCTCCGTCTTCCCCCAAATTGCGCTAGAGGAGTGTAACCCATGTGGTTGAAAGGACTTTAGGTGTTAAAGACTTTGTGGAAGGCTTCAAAGAAAAATGGATAGAAAACCTAACTGTAACCGTGACCGAGCTGATTCTGTCAGTCAGTATTCATTCTGGTCTTGTCCTTGGATTCTAGCCGTTTATATGTTCCTCAGTTTCCTTCCTTGTGAACCGTTTCCATTATGACCTTCTGTTAATAAAATGCCGCATCTTTCCAAGAAAGCACCTATGTTATAATTAGTAAACTTGTGGGAAGCTTCAGCTACTATTGCCCTATTAAGACAGAATTTAAAATTCAGAGTTACACAGTAGTTAAAAATAGTTTTGAAGTCTGACAGGACCCAGAATGTCCCAGTGCTGGTGTGGGCAGACAGCCTGTGGTGCCTGCCATCCCTGTAACAACACTAACAGTCTTGAATAATGTGGAAGCGGTGCTTAAAAGAAATCCCAGGTAGACTCAGCAAAAGTTGGAAACTCGAGTCAGCTGTTAAAAGGGAATAGGCCGGCTAGTTTCAGGCTCATGCCAGAATTGTCCTGAAGCCCTGCCTATCTTCCTGCCCTGTGTTGGTGTTTTAGACACTTCTCAAATCTAATTTTTCACTCCAGAGCTAACCACTTCAGCAACTTGTCTCTTGTCTGCTTACCACTTCTCTATTCTCATCATCTCCAGAGAGGCACAGACTGGCTTTTCGACAATGAGAATTTTAATTGTGCTTCTATGAACACTAATTTTGTCCTCATCTCTTTTAGAACTTGCCAGATGTTAAGGGGATAGCAGATAATCCTTTGTGAGGGTGTTTTACCTTTTAAATGAGCTTTAAGCTATCTTTTCAAGGATATAAAGGCCCACAAAGCCTTTACTGAAAGTTTAATGAAACAAATGGAAACACTCAGTAGTACGGAGTGTCCTAGTAACACAACACCCTGTGCTAACAAGATTGGAAACAGAATTGCAATTCGTCACCATGATCTTATTTCAAAATGAAAGGGTATTTTGACTGTTTCTTTTAGAGGCAGTAGAAACTTTTGGTTTTGATGGGAGCCTGGTGTACCTTTTGTACTGGTGATTTTAGATGCAGGGGAGTCTGTTCAGCAGACACAGGATGCTTGGTGTGGTAGGGATGTAAAGATGACTGAGAAAAGGGTCCTTTCTCTAAGGAAACTGAGAATCTGAGACCACTTGAAAATAGTCATACTAGCACTTATGGCACTTTACAATTTTCAGGCTTCTTGTAATAATACTACACTTGAGGTTGGACAAACCTGTATGATCCACGTTCTCATTTTACTGTTTAAAAAAAAAAGTTAGTCTCATAGCTACTTTTGAACAAGTGTTAAGTCCTGTGCAGTGCCTGCCTCTCGGAGGCCCCTTAACATGCATTAAGGATTAATATATGTATTCTAACTTTTCAGAGTACTCAAAATGAAATGCATTCTTTCCAACGTGTACAGTATCCTTTTCTGCACTCCCATTGTTGACTTACATGAATTTTGTGTTGTAACTTCTGCATGTACAAATACAAATGGGACGTGAATTCCTTAACAGAATTCCTTAACACTTAAGAACAGAGTTACAAATTAAACACAAACATAACCACAAGACCAATAAAAGTAAAATTTACAGCATTATCCTGACAGCTCTTTTTTGGCTACTCACAAAATGCATATTGGTACCAGCTGGGACAAACACAGGGTCTTTGGGAGTTGCCATCACTGTACCACTCTACCAAAACATGATTCAGGTTTTCCAATATTTCCCTATTTGAACCATAGGAAAACCTTTGCTTTTATGGTGTGCTGTAAGTTATTTGGGCATCATTTGGTCTGAACGCATTTTTTATATATATAGTGTTTGCTGCTGTTCGTTCTCATTAACCCTGCAGCAGTTAAAGAAGCTCTGTTTGCATCAATACTGGTGTATATGTGAATTCAGGTGTTAACAATTGAATTGCTTGTCAGTACTTAATATCTTGGGTGGTTGACCAGATCCAGGAAATGCTTATATTAATTTGTTTTAGATTAGACAGAAATGAAAACTGCAGTGGAATTAAATCCACTGTTGTAATGATTAGCCCAGTTTATGAGCATGCAAGGAATGGACTCCTTAGAAGTGATAGGGGAGAGCAGGGAGGGCTTCGTGGTAGAGGTGGTTTTACCTGGGCCTTCAAGGCACTGGTAGTGTTTTCCGTAGGTAGAGAACTTAGCCAGGAGATAGAGAGCAATAGGGAATGGGTCCTCTGGGCTGAGCAGAGGCTTTCAGGGGTTATGATGTCTTGGGGGCTAAGTACATTAGTGGGGCAGAGAGAAAGAGGCGGTAAGAAAGTTAGATTAGAGCTGAGCCATAAAGAGTGTTTACCTCTTGATTTAAAGTTTAGAGAATTTTAGTGAAGTTCTCTTAAACAGTTACTGCTAAACTGTGAAATCTGGAGGATACCTGCCTTCTAATTTGCCCTGCTTTCAGAGTGATTGCTCAGTTTTGTTTCTTTGCTATATCACACATTATGGACATGTTTAAAATGAGCTCCGTATAATGTTTGTAACTTGGGAAGAGGACAGATAGGTGGGAACAGCACTTATCAAGAGCTGACTGTGCACTTGCTCCTGGGCTGGATACTCGGACTTGCAGCATCTCATTTAAACATCACCCTCAGTCTGAAAGGTTGGTATGCTAATCGCTATTCTGACAATTGAGGAAACTAAGGGTGAGAGAGTTCTTAGTGGTGGACACTTCCAGCATCTTGGGTGGGACAGTTCATTGTTGACCTGGACTCTCCTGTCCTTGCAGGATATTTGGCATCTGTGGCCCCGCCTACTAACTACTAGAGCATCCTCCAGTCACTGGGATAACTCAGAACACCCCCACCCAGTTGGGTAGGGGAGGGAGTGCTAGCACTCCCAGTGGAGAATGACTTATGCCAAATCATGCCAGGAGCAAGATTTGAACTTAGGTTTCTCTGACTCCAAAGCTCTGGTTCTTTTTCCACACCATCCTGCCCTTCTTGAACTGAGTAGTAAGTCAGTTGGACCTTTCCTTCCTTTGTTCTGGAATGGACAACATTTCACTTATACTCTTTTTGACTGTTCCTTTGAGTATCCCAATATAGTGTCATTGACAGAAGGTGAGACAGGATCACCAGACCCAAGGACAGGGCCTGTGTTTCATTCCTCTTCGTGCCCTCTTTGCCTTGCTCAGGTGAGGGAGTGAACCTCTGTTTGTTGATGGAGCATGACAGCCCTTATTAGTGGCTTTCAGCCCGGGGTGGTATACCTCCTGCCCTCAAAATGGGCATTTTGAAACATGGTTGGGTGGTGGTCTGTAAAGATCTCTAGGCAGAGAGATTGGCTCTTGATTTAAAGTTCAGAAAATTTTTGCTTTTCACCATGACTGAGTGTGATTAAGTGGGTGGAGCCAGGATACTAATGGGCTGTAGTGCAGGAGATAGTTTCATAAAAGATTCAGTACTGCCCTTGGTTCCAGCGTGAGAGCTGTTGACCTTCAAGTTAAATGTTGACCACAACATCAGTTATGTGGGGAAAGGGAGCTTTCTCCTCTGAATTTTCATGGTGATTGCATTTTCATTGATTTGAAAACACTATAGAAGATAATTGGTCACTAGTTTAGTGGAATGAGATACCTATGTGGTGTTGAAAGCCCACATCCTTAGTTCATGCCTGCTACAGTACAGGTGACTGGAAAATTCCAGGAGTCCTCTGCCATGTGTACTTTGTGAGGATCTTGAGCTCCCAGGTTAACGGAAAGCACAGGACCTACTCTTGGCAGTGGAGTAGAAATACAGGCTGTGGAACTGTACTTCTTTTCAAATGAGATTTCTCTTTTGGGTTTAACAGGGTGTCTGCCAGATGTCTAACCTGGGGATTGTGTTTCTTGCTGAGGACATTCCTTGAAAACTAATTCAATTGTACACTTTAAATATGTAAGAGTTGCAAGTGTACCTCAAACTGGCCTGCAATAAATTTAATCAGAACTTCTGACTTTATTAAAACAAACATTTTTGGGTTCTTTTTTTCATCTCAGTGGAAAATATGTAAAAAGGACAATAGCAAATTTTGTAAAGTAACAGGAAA